ATATGTGCCCACACACCTGTCCTTTTCTCCCTCTGAAAGCTGTCTGAAGCCCCACATGTGTCACAATAATAAAGAAGCTGCCATAAGCTTTTTCTGAATTATAAAACATGCAGTATCCTGACTAGAAAGGACTTTAAAAACTACACAACCCAATCCTCTCATTAAGGCAGCCTTCGCTTGAATACCTCCAGTGACAGGGAGCTCACTACATTTACAAATAAGACATCAGTAGTCAATCATTTACTCAAAAAACATTTACCAAGCACCTACTCTGGACCAGGCCAGTGATAAGCACGCAAATACAAAGTGAGCAAAACATGATCGGTTCCACTGTTAGAAAGCATTTCCTTCTGTTGTGCCAAGATCTGTCTGTCCACAGTTCCACCTGTTGCACCTCGTGTTAGCCCTTGGGATACAGAGTAAGCAGCTCATTCTGCCATAGCTGGCCCGTCCTCTCCTTCCCCTACCCACATGTCCACCTGGCAGAAACTCACTCTTGCCAAAGAACTGGCAGGGTGCGTGGCGGTGAGGGCACCAGCTCCAGGCCAATCCCGAGGGCCCAAAGGGCCAGGAAGAAGTTTCGTCCTCCCTTTTGGGCCACAGGGATCTTCTTGCCCAACCAGACCCTCAACACAGAAAACAAACTGGTCACGTGGGCTGTCATTACAGTATCTCTCAGCACTTGTCTGCTGCCCCCACCTGTTTTATGGCCCTTGCCTGCCTCTGGCATTCTCTGTGTCCCCAGCCCTATGTCCTGCCCCACTCCCCAGCCCTTCTCAGCTCCTGGGCACCCCAGAGCCTTGTTACAACCTTTGATTTGTATGCTAAGCCCAAGTTAAGAACCCCAGGCTCTCCTGCCAGCATTTTCTGTAGTCCACTGCCCTGTGTAGCCTATTAAGGGGAAACCTTGTACCAAAAGCTATCAATCATATACAGTGAGCCAGGGGGCTATATTGGACTCCATTTTATTCAGTAAGCTACCATGTGCCAGGCCCTGGGGTAGACAAGTAGATAAAATACACCCCTGACTCCAGGGGCTGACGTGTGCCGCCCTAGACGGCTGGACATTTCAACAGACTGTCATCACAGTGTGGTCGGTGTGATGAGACGCCCTGGATATTTTGGGATCCCAGAGGAGACACCTAATCCAGACTAAGGGTGGGAGCCATGGAGCCAGAGGGTCAGAGAAGGCTTCCAAATGGGGAGGCTTGTTTGAACCCCTCCCAGGCACGCACACCACTCTGAATGCCCCTACCCCTCCCGATGAGAATTACTACTCTAAAGGTTCAAGGCAGGAGTCACAAAGCAGCATGAGGTTTTACTAACGATTTAAATCTCAACATCGTTAGTTGGCGTCGGCATTCCCCAGGTCCACAGGCTCATCTGCTCCTACTGCTTCCACGGCCACTGCACTGATCCACGTGGAGGTGGGACCCCTGTTTAAGAAGGAGCAGTTGAAGAGCTGGCACCTACTCTGTGACTGTGACCAGAGGTCCCAGCCTACCTGAAAAGAAAGCGGGAATGGCTGACTATGATGCAGGCTGCATGGTGGGCGCTACCTGACAGGTGTGCAGAGGGCGCTGGGGCCCCGCAGAGAACATTCACTCTACATGCACGCACATGACCAGTGGCCTGACCACACGGGTGGAGGGAGCTTTGCTTTGCACACTTGAAGTCCATCGGGTATAGACTCACAGCCTCATCCACATCTCTCCGATGACCTGCCCTCACCTGCCGCTGTCTCCTGCCCCGCTCCTGAGCACCCGTAGGTCCCCACTGACCTGCCTGCTCCCAGCTGCCCTTCCTCTCCAGAGAGCTAAATGAAGTATGGTCTTTACTACCTGTTAAATTGTCTTAAACTCCATCCTTAACTTTAAACACAGGTAGATTAAACTGTTTTCAAATGAAGCTCCTTTGTCAATGGCTCCAAATTTAAAAAGTGACCTGCCCGCCATTTAAGAAGTTTCGTAAAACAAAATGATTTAACAGCACTAGTTGTGCTATGCTCAAATTCATAACAAATATGTTTCTCTCTTTTACCCAGGGAAGTAGCTGTTCTGGAGAGCTAAATTTTTCAGATAAAGTCTGTCCTTTTTATACCCTAACTGAAAAAAAAAATTCAGTGTGGCTTTTAAAACTGAAATTCACAATTCCAGTATCTGAATCATAGCATGCTGAACACAATTTAAACTATACTCCATGACTCAGGTTCATTATTGTACTATTCAGTCACCATCTCAGAGGTGTTTTGTCCCGAGACTGCTGTGCTTTGAATTCTTGTGTCTGCTTTTCATAATTATTCTGTTTCCTCCCTCGTTGTTGACTGTCAAATAATAACAACAAAAGCAGGGACACTAATGACGTCTAAGCGTGGACCTAAGCAGTCATCCGTATTAGCTCAATCCTCACGAGGTCGGCCCTTCCATTATTCTCATTTTGCCAAGCAGGAAACAGGCTCAACAGTTAAGATCCTTGCCCAAGGCAACTCAGTAGTAAGAGATGGGCTGTCACTTGAACCCAGTCAGTCTCATTCCAAAGCCTGAGCTCATAACCACCACAAAACACGCCTGTAACTCTGCCTAGAAAAGTCCCTCTCCCCACTTCTAATTTGCTTCCTTAAATCTGTCACAGGGTGAGAAACAAAATAACCAAGCTTATTAGAACTCTGTGTAAAGTAACAATAGAAGATGGTTAGTATTTGGATGACAGTTAAATACAGGCTTTCTTGGTGGGGGCAGATAAAAGTGTTCTAAAACTGTGATGGTTGCAACACTGCAAATATACTAAAAACTATTGAATTGTACACTTTAAGTGGATGGATTGTATGGTATGTGATTTATATCTCAATAAAGCTGCTTTTAAAAAAAAGAAAAGGAAACAGGACAGCTGGAGGAACCCTAGTGTGCATTTTGGTTGCACATTAGAAATTTTTCACGTTATCATCCACATTGGCTACATTCATTCAACTACGCACATTTGCAGAGTGGGTGAACTCTGGCTAGATAACGTGATGTGAACAACAGATAGCTTCTGGGTACCAGCAGGCTTTTCCTGTCTTGTCTTTGCATCCTAACTTTGATTCCCCAGTCAGTCTACCCCTCCCACTCACCCTGACCCACTGGAGTTCCAGGAGAGACCGGGTCAATCTCATCTTCCTAAGGAGGCAGAGGGGTCCCTGCAGCAAGCAGTCCCTGCTGGCCTGCTGATCTGGCCTCTCTGGGCAGCCTGGGGTGCTGGCTTCCTAGAGTTGGCCCCCCATCCTGGAAGGGTTGTGTCTGAGCCTAGCTTGGCTCTTAAAGCTGCTGGAATCCTGACAGCAGCCCTCCCAGGGTTAGCTGCTTATCTTCCTTACTCACAACTCAAGTTTTTCATTCTTTTTGTAAGAAGCTATTTTCACTACTGGTTCTAGCTAGTGCCTTTACAGTAGACTGAAAATAAACTTTTTTCTCCTAAATTACAGAGAAAAAGAAAATGATTGTTTTTTAAAAAGACTTCTCCAAGCACCAGGAACAATCAGGCTTGTCAGAGGAGCCAGAAGGAGGGAGGGCTTTTTCCAAACTGGAAGCCCCATCTCATGTCACAGTTTTAAATACAAACCCATAGACTCTGGGTATCTGGAGACCTGCTTCTGGCTACAGGCCTGGGGGCTCCTTGCAGGAAGGCTCTATATCACCATTTATATTTCAGAATGTCAGGAAGGAAGCAGAGATGAAGAGGAAGCTGTGGAGAGCATTCCTCCCTCAAATGGTTCACATCTGAGTATTTGCATAACGGTGTCTGTACTGAGCAGTGAGGCTGAAAGATAAAGTTGGGGGGTGCGAAGCTCTGGAGACACTGGGACATTTGACCCGGAGTCCAGGGACCACGCTGTCCTTTGGCAGAAAAGAAGCCACCGGGCAGTTTCCCTCTGCTTCCTTCACAAGCTGGCAGTTATACCCCGGGGAGCAGCGTCCAGGGTCATTTCAGTGTCTCCACATGCAACAGAGCACTCGAGCTCAGACTGGAGATGAGACAGCCTCATGGTTAAAGTGTGGGGTTCTAGATTCAAAGGATGTGGGTTTTGGTCTCTGCCTTGTCATTTACTGGCTATGTATCCTTGTCCTCCTTCCCCACCTGTAAGGCTTCCACCCAGCTCTACACAGAGCTAGCTCCTTTACACCCTTCATCAGCTACAATGTCCTCGGAGAGCCCTTCCCTAAGGACCTACTCTGAAAAGGCCTCTCCTTCCGCCCCTCCCGCCTCCCCACTCATCTCCCTCACAGTACCTGTGCTGGGCCGGGGCCTCTCTGTTCTCAGATCACTCCTCATCCTCCCCTGTGTTTCTAGCTACACGTCAGCCAGCTGCTGGCTGAGTGTGGCCACTGGAGGAAACTAGCACTTGCCAGAAGGATTAAAGCCAGGTATCTCCTGCCTCTTTCTCTGCCGTGGGAGGGGTCTCTGCAGCTGTTGCCTCTCCTCCTTGGCTCCAGTTTCCATTGGAAAGGCCACCGCCATTCCAACCTCTCCACCGCGGGCTCCAGCAACTCCACCTCTCCCCAGTGTCTCTCCAGCCTATGGTGGCAGCTGCCTCCTCCTGTGCCTCCCCTCCCTTCCTGTCTCCTCAGTTCTATACCACTTCTGTAACTGATTCCCCGCACTGAAGCCCTATTTCCAATATTCAAGTCATTTCTGTTTTTCTGGTTAGACCCTGACTGACATAGCACTTATCATAACCTACCTTTTTTTAATTAATTTGTCCAGTCACTCAATTATTGTCTAGACCAACTGAAAGCTCTACAGGGCAGACACCGTATCCACCTTGTTCATTAATACATCCCCAGTGCCCAGCACAGCACCTGGCAAATGGTGAGCTGAGTTAATTAAAATACTTGTCAAGTGATGAAGTCAAATTGATGTTTCCCAAGAAATCTTCATATTCCCAAAAAGAAAATGTCATTTGGAAGTGATGTGTATTTATGAGCATGATTTGTTATTAAAACAACAGCAGAGAAAGCGGTTTTTGATCTTTCCAAACAGAGGCACCAAAACACACTTCCAGCAAGAAGTGAATTAGTCAGTCTCGGTTAAGGAATAAACTCAGCTCCCAGGACAGGCCAGTCCCCATGAGGAGCCTGATCGCAGGACCCACGCCCACAGCCTGCCTGAGTCTGTACAGCTGCACACAAGTCACAGGGACAAACCTTTTCGCGGTCTCCACGGACTTCTGTTCCGCCAGCTCCTTCTGCAGCTCCCTTTCCTTGGCCTCCTTCTGCCCAATGGGGCAGTCCTCGGGGACAGTGAAGAGGGACAAGGCATCTTTGCTGTCCTCTTCTCGGAGCACTTTAGCAAACACCTTCTCAGCCAGGAGCCGGACTTGCTCATCCACCTCAGAGATGTTCAGCTTGGGGAACTGGCGCGGCATCTCGGCTAGCAGAAAAGGAACCAGCGTGAGCTTCTGTGAATTAATGGACCACCTGAGTCACCAGTGCAGGGCAGGAGAAGGTACCAAAATCAGGGCCAGGCACCCCAGTCCTGGGGGTTAGCTGTCTACTCAGGAATTCCCCAGATTGAACCCAGCATGCCAATTTTTAAAACTAGCTCAGTAAGTAACTGGATGTGAAGGATGGAGGCCCACTTACATTTCATGAAAAAGCAAATGTTCAGAAGTAAAAAAATGAACTGCCCAACCAAGTGGGCTTCTGTCTTCCCAAACTCGGGAATCCTCAGCACACCACAGCCCCTCCCTTCCCGACTTGGTTTCTGTGACACAGGAGGGGGAGGAGAGTTCACGACCCCTCCCGCAGACGATGAGGAGGCCATGCCAGGTGCTACAATGACCAAACCGGCTCCCCAGTGCACAGGGGGGAGACCAAAGCCCAAAGGGTTTAATGATTTGAGTAGGGTCCCACGAGATGGTAGCAGAGCCCTGGGGAATCCACAGCTACAGTCCTCATAACAGAAAATGAGGCCTTTTGCTGAAAAGAAATCACAGTTCCACAATCTCCCAAACCCTCTGGAACTTCTAACAAGACAGCAAATAAACTGAGGTTCTGAGCACAGGGATCCTCTTTACCTCTCACAGCCCAGCTGAAAACGCACTTCCTCCAAGAAGCCTGCCCTCATCCTCCTCTGCACACCGGCTGCTCACGGTCGGGAGCTGGCCTCCATCACTGGTTGGTATCCTTCTCTTCTACCTTTGCTCTCTGCCTCTCTTTCAGCACTTACATAGCATGCATTAAGCATGCTCTGCCTAGCCCTTTATTCTTGCTCAGTTAATCCTATTATTCCCATCTTACAGAAGAGAAATTGAAGGCACAGAAAGCTAACTTACCCACTACTAATAAGTGGGCAGAGACTTGTGCTGTTCTCGGCTTCTGGCTCCCCTGTCCCTTTCCTCTCCGAGCCTCTGCTCAGGAGTTAGAACACGGGCACCGTGTCCTCTGAACCACTACACCGTGCTGCTTCTCTCTGCCCATCTGGGGGGCCAGGTCAGGTCTCCGCACTGTCCCAGCATCATATTTAAGGAATGGATGAATACTGCATCCTTTCCATGAGCCATCTTCACCAGGAGGAGCTCCGAAAGAGGCATTTTTATATCCATTCATGACCACAGTTTCTTTAAGGAGGGTTTAATGAGAGATGCAGTTTTGCAGCCCGACAGATGAGGATGAGGGTGAGACAGTGCCCAGTGCCGTCTGGCAGGGGGAGGAAGCGATCACAGAGGAGGAGGGACTCAGAGGGCAACCCTCGTTCTCTGCACCTCACAATGTTCCCATCTGTGAGATAAAGGGACTGGACTAGGTGGTCCCCAAGGCCCTCTCAGTCCGAAGTGCCACACTTCCAGGTGCCAGAGAGCTTTCTGGAGCCCAGGGAGGCTTGCTGCTCTGGTCTTCTCTGCAGCACGTGGGTCTAATTCAGGACACAGACAGGAAAGAGGAAAGCAGGCTAGTAACGGGCAGGCAAAAAACATGCCTCTAGACTGCGAAGCCCATTTCCTCCTTCCCTGCACCTCCAGGGCCAGGCCTTTCCTGGGCCTCTCTCATCCTCAGCGCTCGAGTGGGAGGGAGCAGGGAGGGGAGAGGTGGGAGGGGAGAGGCAGCCGGGCCTGCAACTGTGCAACCATGCTGGGCTGTGGCCACAGAGACCAAGACGGCAAGGGCCCGTCCTGCAAAGGATGAAGAGGAACAGCTGACTGTGGAGATTCCACGACCTGATAACAGAGAGAAGGGGGAAGCTGGAAACCATCAGGACAGAGGCCGGAGAGGAAGGTGACAGGAGGGAGAAATGGAGAGAAGGACAAAGAACCAGACCCAAGAGGAGCTATGAGGGGAGAACAAAGCTGGACCAGCCCCCCATCTCTAAGGCCATGGTCAGGTGCAGCATTCCAGAACCTCACATGGCATCTCAGAAGCAGACGTCCAACAGGCCCCAGGCAAGGGGCAGCAGATGCTAGAGAAGCACCCAAGCACCTGACAGGGTGCACCCACTTACAGAAATTGCTTCTACGAAAAGAATCTGAAGAAAGAAAAAGCACAAAGATGTTTACCTGCACTCTTTATATAAATAGCTTAAAAATGTCCAAAAGAGAGCAGACTCACTTGATAAAAAAAATGAAGTAACCAACGTTATAATTGTAAGGATGGTGCAATCACATGAAAAATAACTTGTGAAGTAAATGAAAAAATTAATCCATGAAACTGTACCCATGCTTTGATTACAATGATATGAAAATGCAGTCCCTGGACCAGGGCTGCGAGAGAGACACACACTCAGATCATCACACTGCAGGACTGCCTATGTGAGGCAGTATCTGACGTTGATCACTGATACTACTATAATGTCATTTTCACAAAAACAAAGAAGATAGAAAGAAAACGAACACATTTAAGAGTTACAAAAAGAGAAAAATAGGAAAGTTAATCAAACTTCTACAGCCCAGGTGTTGGCAATTCGGGTCCTATCTCCCACCTAAACCACACCAGAGAGAGGACATGGAATCACACCACTGAGGTCCATCCCTGCATTAGCTTTTGCCCTGGATAAAAGCTGCCCACCACCACTTTCCTATCCTCCCAAACACACACAGGCCTGACCCAGCCACACCTCACCAGGCCCCTCTGAACGGGTGCACTCAGGGGGTCTTTTGTGTCTAAGGGCTCTTAGGTCAAATTCCGCCACGTTCTTCCATGAAGCATTTTTCCCTTGCTCAAGTCAAAGAAACACTTTCCAGGATGCGTCTTCCTATAAAAGACCTTCCTTTTTCTTTAGCTCAAATAGCTTAAATCAGCCTTTTCCAAACTGGGTCCCATTAGAAGTCAATACCTATTGCTATGAAACAGGTCCTGTGATCAGTTACTAGGGAGATGCTGCACTCCACAGCCCCTCACCCCAGACTCATAAGGCACATTAAAGATTCGAGGATCACAGAGTGCCATCTCCCCACAGACCCCTTTTTCTTCAGAACCCATGTGAATCTTCTACTACCAATGCCTTAAATAACTGGTGAAGACTCCGTCCCTTTACTTCGCACTGACCAAGAAGCTCTAGAGTGCTGGGCTGAGACAGTTGGCCTTCGGAGCCCTCGAGACACCTGCTGTCTTCTGGAGATCCTTGGCAGACAGCTCCCCTCTGCCAACCCCTCCCTCCAGAGTTCATCTTTTCTTGGACCCACAGACCCCTGCCAGGCCAGGCATGCAGAGGAAAGCCCGCCACACACACAGCAAGCAGCAGCCCCGGCTGCTTGCTCAAGCCTGGCTCTCAACCGTTTGTCACATGAAGCCCACAGGCTTGAGAGGTTTAACTGTGAATTTACCGGCATTGGCAAGTGATAAAAGCTGAAGCCGTAGTTACATACAGTATCCTCTAAGGAGCCTGGAGGAGAGGCGTCCCAAAGTTAGAAAGATAAAATGTCACCAATTTCAACAAAGAGTAACTTTTTCATGGCACCACGGCCCCTCCGGAAAGGAAGCACAGTGCCCCTTAAATCCCTCCTTATACACATAAAGCTGTTTCTTGCTCCTGCCAGACTCCCACAGTGGGAACCCACGACACAGACCTGAGCCTGGTGCTGGACTCGCCATGGCTGATCAGGAGGAGGCCACCCAGGCGATGTGCTCGGGCCGGGGCTGCGTGTTGCCGGGGAGGCTGAGCTGAGTCAGTGTAAGTGCAGCTAGCTGGGTCCCGTCTGCCACTGCTGCTGGGGTGGGAGGTCTCTGCTTTGCATATCTGAGCAGCCCTGAGCAAGAGCAGGAGAGGCCTGGGCTGGAAATTCTTCCGTGAGTACGAAATGGAAGTGGAAAATTTCGGAGAGTTCTAAAGGGCCCAGGTAATGCCAGTTGTCATAGCCGCTGTGTCCAGAATGCAGCGTCGTGGCCCAGCTCACAGCCCTCTCCAGAACAGGAGACTAAGCCACTGCTGCCCAATGCAAGAGTGCCTGCAGCCTTCCTGACCAACCACAGAAGACAAGCCACAGCCTCCCTCAAACGTCCAGACCCCTCCTGAAAGCTGAGAGTCACTGAGATACCATCACCTGTGCTGCTTCCGTTTTGAACAGCACTTCAGGTTTGGCCTGGCCACCAGGTTCATCTCACCAAGATGATCTGTATACATATACACACACACACACAGACAGACAGACAGACACACACACACACACACACACACACACACACACAGCCTGCCCTGGTCCTCTTGAAAGCTCCCCCTCCAAAATACAGCAACCCTCCTGAGGGCACCCCAGAGCTGGCAGGGGAAGTTGTGGGCCAGTTACCAAGACGAGCCCCTCCCCCACCCCTAAAAGAGGGAAGGACCATGAACTGGAAAGGGGGAGGGGACATCTCAGTGCAGGAGCAGGCTAGGATGGAAAGCTGGCATGCCCTGTCCCACTTCTTCCTCTCTTCCCTGAAAGGGGCTGCACATCACTGCTGGCTGGGCAGCCTGCCAGCGCCTCCATGCCCACCCACCCACTCACAGCCAGGAAAGACAGGCCTCCCGCCTGACCCACCCGAGCCCACCCCTCAGCGTCCACTCCTTACTGCCAGTCACGGCTCCCACGTGGGCCTCCAGCTCTGAGAAGCCTCCCGAGAGCTGGCTGGATGGGGCCACCCTGCCGCCAGCAGCTGCCACTCCCCCTGCCTCAGGTGACCCACAGAAGCAGTTAGGGTGGATCAAAACAGCATCCCAGGGCACAAAGCTCCTTTTCTCATCTGCCCTTTAGGAGAAGGGCAGTTCTGTGTGGGAAAGCTCACAACAGACACGCGGCCTCCCGGGAACTTAGACAAACTGCGTGGGTCTGGGAAATAACCGTGAGCCACGGGGCTATTTCTGTGGTGCTGTTGAAATCCTGGGGAGAAGCGCTCAGGAAGGATGGGCAGTTGTTTACTGGGAGGCTGGACCTAGCCCTGACTTGGGCCTGAGTCACCTCCTCATGTCCAATCGTGAAGTTGTGCCTTCCTGAGCCCACATAATAATTCCTGTGTGTACAGAGCAGGATTACAGGGCTGACACACGATCCTCTGGCCACGGCTGGGCTTCAGCTACCCAGAGATTATGACCCACCTGTCCTCACAGCTGTTTCACAAACAGTGCGACCAGCAGGCTACAAGCAACCTAAAGGAGGGCAATATGTATTCATTAAATAATTAAATGGCCTTAAAATAGAGGGGGGAAAAATCTGAGCCCTAAGTACTATTCTGCCAGAGGAGAGAAGGGGCAAAGGATTCCTTCTGCTGTTGTGTTTGGGGGGCAGGGGAGGTACAATGGGGCTGCATGCAAGCATTCTGCCCCCTGCACCTGAGAACCAACCTGGATCCAACACATCCAGGGCATCTTACTCTGCACCTCTAAGCAGACCATGATAGCCTCAGTCCAAATAAACATTTTCCCAAGTGTAGTCTGCAGAACATAAAATGTCCCAAGGTTTGGACAACACGACATATACCATAGTCCTTTATGGGGATTCACACACAATTCCTACTAGCAGCTTCTAAACACCCAAGAAGTCCTCCAGTCAAGAAAGCTACTTAACTTTGTTTACCCCAACACACTTATTTGACACTCTGACCACTGCAACGATAGGAAAAAAAACCTATTAGTATCCTGTGTCATAGGCTTTGGAAAATGTCTTCCACTCTGAGCCTTCATTTTCCAACCTAGAGAAAGCTGCCTTCCTGGGGCCCAGCATCAGGGTGAGGTCTACTCCATCAGGTCCAGACAGAGATGGGCAGCAGCCCTGCTAAAATGACACAAGCTGGGACAATGGCCAAGGGTCCTGCTGGAGGGATGTAAGACCCTCCAGAACAACAGCAATTTAGAAGGAAGCTGTGCTCTGTCCAGAGGGCAAGCTTTGCTCAAGACTTAACAATTTCACCTGGAGCCTAACATGCCTCTGCTCCTCATGGCCTAGAAGTCTCCTTGGACTGAGAAGCACTGGTCCCAAACTCAAAGCCTTATTTCCCTTTTGAAGGAATATTAAGACAATCTATGGTACTACTGAATGGGAGAAAATATTTGCTAATGATATAAATGATAAGGGGATAATATCCAAAACATATAAACAGCTCATACAACTCAACATAAAAAAAAAATTGAAAAATGGGCAGAAGACCTGAATAGACATTTTTTCAAAAAAGACATACAGATGGCCAACAGGCACATGACTAGATGCTCAATGTCATTAATCACCAGAGAAATGCAAATTAAAACCACAGCGAGATATCATCTCACACCTGTTAGGATGGCTGTTATCAAAAAGATCACAAATAATAAATGTCAGCGACGATGTGGAGAAAAGGGAACCCTCGTACACTGTTGGTAAGAATGTAAATTGGTGTGGCCACTGTGGACAACGGTATGGAGGTTTCTCAAAAAACAAAATATAGAACTACCATATGACCCAGCAATTCCACTCCTGGGTATTTATCCAAGTGAAAACACTAATTTGAAAAGATACATGTACCCCAATGTTCATAGCAGCACTATTTACAATAGCCAAGACATGGAAGCAACCTAAATGTCCATCAACAGGTGAATGGATAAAGAAAATGTGGCATATATATATATGATAGAATACTACTCAGCCATAACAAAGAATGAAATTTTGCCATTTGCAACAACACACTTGGAGGGTATTATGCTATGTGAAATAAGTCAGACAGAGCTAGACAAATACTGCATGATACCACTTATACGTGGACTCTAAAAAAGAAAACAAACTAGTGAATACAACAAAAAAGAAACAGACTCACAAATAGAGAACAAACTAGTGGTTACCAGTGGGGAGAGGGAAGTGGGGAGGGACAAGACAGGGGCAGAGGATTAAGAGGAGCAAACTATTCTATATAAAATAAATAAGCTACAGGATGTATTGTACAACACAAGGAATACAGCCAATACTTTAGAATGACTATAAATGGAGTATAACTTGAAAAATGTGAATCACTATGTTGTACACTTGAAACTTACGTAGTATTGCATATCAACTAGATCTCAATTTTAAAAACTTTTTTAAAAAAGACCATCTATGATAACCAAGCACAGGCCTGCATGTCCTGCCCAGGAGGCCAGACTGCATTCACTCCCTGCATCACTTAAGTGTCCCTTAAAAATCCCCCAAAATGGGAAAGGCCGGAATTAAACTATGGCTCATTCAAAGATACCACTCTCCCTTCCCTAAAAGGATGCTGTGGGCTTGCCTATAGGGACGCATTTTCCTTCTCGTTTCTGAGGCATGCATGACTCACAGAGGGGTTGGGCAAAGGGGCTTTGCCTGCTAAATACCAGCTCCATGACAGACCTTGTCCATCTCATTCACTATTATGTCCCCAAGCCTGGAATATCATAGGCATCAAGAAATATCAGTTGAATGAACACATAGAATAATGAATGAGTGAATGAGCTAAGTGATGAATCTACCTTTGCCGATGTCAAGAGTCAGTACAGTGTGTAGTTAAGAATATGGACTCAAGGCACGTACCCAGGTTTGAACCCTGTTCCACCACTAAATTGCATGACCTTGGGCAAGTTACTAATTTCTCTGGCTCAGTCTTATTCCCTATAAAATAGGGATGGTAACACTACTGACCTCATAGATTGCCACGACAATTACATTAGTTAGCATACATAAAGTGCTTAGAATAGTACCTGGCAATAACACGTACTTTGTAAGTTTTATCTCTCAACATTATTGCCATCATTGGCATCCTGATATTGGGTACGAGGAAGTCCAGCTGGGAAAATGAATCTGATGTTTCATCTAGACGCCAAATCCTTTTATTCAACATTATTTATTGAGCACTGTTATGTGCTAGGCACAATCAACTCCTATTTGGGTGCAAGAAGGAAACCATATTCAAACGTAAAACCAGATCAGGAAAAATAGCCTTCTCCTCTAGGAGTGAAGGCTGACTTTGCATGGCCAGCACTCCAGCCATGAGCCCATCCTCTTGGGCCCTAACCCCTCATAGATCAGAGCCTAAAGCCATGGTCTCTTGTCCTAGATATGCAGCCAGCACACAAAAGATATGAGATTAATATTTGGGAGGAAGAAACAAGAAGGCCAATGAGAGTAACTTTTGCGGAGAAAAGGTACTCTCCCTGCTTAACCCTAAAACTACATTTTATCTGCCGTGATATTTTCAATATCTGGGATTGATTTCAAAGCCTACTTGAAGAGTCACTCATCTAGTGTAAGGACAAGAAAAACAGGCCTCATATCTCTAAGAGCTTCTTGATCTGAGAACCACTCACTCCTCATCCAGGATCTCCAAAGGATGGAGGGTGTGGCTCAGAGGTACAAGAGTCTCCCAGCAACCCATCCATGCAAGCCCCACAATTCTTGGGCAGCCCCATGCTGGCATCTTCTGAGCAAGCCAGCCCCTCAGAGTTGACATCCAAGTTTGCAGCCAGGCCAGGAAAACTACACCAAACCTGCTGTCAACACTCTGGAAAGTGAGAGCTGACAGAGGGTCTGGCTCTATGGCTTGACTACCACTCAGCTTTGACACTTTACAGTCGGGAGGAATGTCTCCTACGAGGGTTTCAGCTGCAGCCAGCTTTTCCCTAAATATGGCCAAATGTTGGTCACCACGTCCAGGAGGATAGCCAACAAAGGCTCAGGACCATGCTGAAATTCCTCCTAGTGCTTCCAGCTTGCTTCACCCAGCTCCTTTGCTCATTTGTCATCACCCAGCTTCCAGCCACATGCAAGGACCCAACAGTTAGGGGGAATGACACTCTAGTTAGCAAGCCTCTCCTACTCCAGGGCCTCTCAAAACTCACCCCAGAGGCCTCTGCCAGCCAAGTCTAGCCATTAGCAGCTCCACTGGCAAAGCAGCTACCAGGAAGTTCAAGGGCA